GTATGGGATGTGTATGAATTATATTTTAGATAGGACGTTGGCATCATCTCGTATTTATAATATCTGTTTTTAATGTGTCAAAAATGTGCTAGCCATTGTGCAGTTACAGATCCCTAGACTCATTCGTGTGTTCATTTTTCCATCCAATTGTCCACCAACATATTGTTTTCATTGGAAGTTCTTTCAGTTGCACCAGTTTCTGAGCTGGGCTATGAGAGGCAGGGAACTCCTTTACCATACAAAACTGACTTGGGCTGGAGAGAGAAGTCTAAGAAACAGCTCATACCTCAACTGAGTTGCGTATGAGGCCCCAAAGGGTGATATAGAAAATAAATGCTATTGGAACCGAGGCAGAATGGGGAGTTATACGAGAGAACAGTTGGAAAGGGGCAGCCAGGGCAGGGCGGTAGGAGAGGGAGCAGAGTTGTAGTTACCGGAGGAGCTCAGTGCTGAGCCCTCATGTGTTCTGTGTTCCAGTAGGAAGGACGCCGTGAGAGGCTTATAGTAAAGTTCTTGGGTTTTATTTGAGATTTGCCGAAGCAATAACCTCCGCCATTTAAAAGGCCCCAGTGAAGCTTTGAAGTTAGCACCTCATTGCTGAGAAGTATGATGGCTTTTCATTCTGTACGTTTTTGTGCTTGCATAAAAGGAGGAGGACTGAGGACTTTGACTGTGCTGATGTTTGTTCTGTTTGGATTCCGGGCCCTTTTTCCTCTCTTCTGTCCCGCCCTGCCCTTCACGGGGACATACAGACACTCTAGGCTGCTTGCTGTGGATCAGGTAGCTGGCTGCCACCTCCCAGCTAAGACCTCCAAGTGACAATTACATTTATCCGTTCTTCTCCTCAAATGCCGATTTCCTTTCCTTCTGAGGATCTCCTTGCCCATTTTCAGTCAACCATTATTTATGGAGGGGTTATTAAATAGTAAAACAGATCTTAAAGATGTAAAAATGCCAAGAATCACTGTGAATAAGGCCCGAAGGGGAGATGGAGAAGCCACAGAGGACAGCACACTCTCTGATTGGGAGACCCAAGAAGGAGTTAGCATTAGAAAGCAGTGCAGATGTCCTGCGCAGGACTGCAGGCTAGAGGAGCCCCGAGGAGCCCAGAGGTTCTCTCTTATCCTTCCCCCATCTTGGTTATCTTGTTTTCCTGTACACCTTCCACTTGCTCTAAAAATCCCCGAAACCTGAGCGATTATCTCCTTTTCTCGCACAGATCTTTCAGGGAGGATCAAGCTTTTGTTGTTGTTGTTGATGTTGGTCGTGGGGCTTGAACTCAGGGCCTGGGCGCTGTTCCTGAGCTCTTTTGCTCAAAGCTAGTGCTCTGCCACAGTGCTATTCCAGTTTTTTGATGATTGATTGGAGATAAAAGTCTCACAGGTTTTTCCTGCCCAGTCTGGCTTTGAACTGTGATTCTCAGATCTTAGCCTCCTAAATAGCTAGGATTACAGGTGTGAGCCACCAGTGCCTGGTTACATTTTTTTTTCTTACTTTTAACACTGATTTTATTTTCATTGGAGCCTCATGGGGATTATTAATATATTCTCCCCTAGGTATATCAGGCTGTGAAAAACTGCTGCTTCTGCTGTTTTAATGAGCAAGTTCTTTCAGTTCTTCCTGACAACTACATTTGTTTGCAAGCTGTCTGGCTGCAGCCAGGGGTGCAGACAGCAGCTTTGGAATGAGGCACATCTGTAGGGAAGCCAACGGATCCTGAGGGGATCAAACCCTTGACCTTGATTTCCTTCACATTGTGCTCCCAGCAATGAACGAACTGCTCATTATTCAGCAGATTAGATTAACAACAAAACCAAGAGGAGTGGCCAGTTGTAACCCTGGAATGGTGCCTCTTATTAGAGTAACATGTAGGTCCCATTAAAGTCTACTTAAGTATTTGTTGTTTGGGCAAATACATTTCTATCATGAGAGAGAGAGAGAGAGAGAAAGGGAGAGGGAGAGGGAGAGAGATGAAGAAAGGAGGAGGGAGAGAAGAGGAGAAGGAGAGAGGAGGCAACAAGGAGGAGGGGAGGAGAGGCGAGGAGAGGGAGAGAGAAGGGGTTAACATACATATATATAAACTGGTGATCATCTCAAGCAGAATCCTCAGGACAGGATTCTAGCCTGCCTGTCCTTTGTTGTTTTTTTGTTTTTTGTTTTTGTCGGTCGTGGGGCCTGAACTCTGGGCCTGGGCGCTGTCCCTCAACAACTCAGCTCAAGCCTAGCGCTCTACCACTTGAGCCACAGCGCCACTCCTGCCTGTCCTTTGTTAGAACTCAGAGCAGTCTGTGTAATCTTAGCTCTACCTGCCCCAAGCCCTATCTTCCTGAGGGATTGGTTTCTCTTCCCTAGATTCCAGCATCCCATTGGAGATTAGATTAGAATTATCTTAGAAGTAAATGAGGAGTTTAGACTTTTCCAGCAGAGTACCCCAACCAGCAGGAGAGAGAGGGACATGGATGTTTTAGGAGATGTAGGTGGCAGCACTGGAGGGGGTGGGTGGGAATACAGAGTCTTGTTGAAGTCATTATTTCTGTAAAGATTCACCTACATATTGCATTCTCCATATTGATTCAGGTTGACTTTACACCATTACGCCATTTCTCCAGGTGGAGTCCAGCCAGCAGTCAGGAAGATGCACCGTCCTGGGGCTCCAGTTACCCCGCCGGCCCCAGGCACTCTTGAATGTAGGCACATGCCGCTTTGAGCCCCGCAGAGGTGGCAGAGGTGGTGTGGATGGTAGCACTGTCAGCTGCCGAGCAGTTGTAGGATGTGACTTACTGTGTTTTGTGCATGAAAGAGCGATGTGGGGAACAGCGGGAAGCATGGATTGGTGAAAGCTGTTTCTTGCTATTTTCTAAAAGTCTCCAAACCACTTCTCGCTTTATTTATTCAGTAGATTTTAGTGTCAGGAGTTTTGAACTGGCTATGGGGGAACTTGGGCTCTAGGAACATTACAGAGATAATTAGGAAGCCTAGGGTTACATTTATAACTTTAGATTGGGTTATCAGTACTTGTAGAACCCTCTAGACTTTCATCTGGCAGACTTTTTGGGGGGGTGGTCGATTGTGTGCTTGAACTCAGGGCCTGGGCCCTGTCTCTGAGCTTTTCTGCTCAAGGCGATGGCTCTGCTACTTTGAGTCACAGCTCCACTTCCAGTTTTCTGGTTGTTAATTGGAGTCCCACAGACTTTGTGGCCCAGACTGGTTTCTAACCATCGATCCTCAGAGCTCAGTCTCCTGCTAGCTAAGATTACAGGCATGAGCCACTGGGGCCCAGCTGGCAGATTCTTTTAATACCCAAATTTACCTACTCATTAGTTGAGTTGATACTCAGTTCTGTTTTTTTTTCTTTTAAGTTTGTGGCTAGAATGGGGGTAGGGACCCAAAAGAATAAATAGTTAGGAGACAAGGTTAAATCTCCTAAAAAGAGGTTAAAAGAAAACCTGACTTCATCTATGAAATAGAAAATAGAAGTACAGCTGCAAGTCTATTCAAAAAAGAGCACTTAGTTATTTTAGCTGTGTCTGTAACCATTATTATAAACAAATTGTGGATTAAGAAGAAATTTATATTCTTTTAAGTTTAGAGTCCCTTTCCACCATACATTATTATAGAAAGAATGGATTGTTAATCCTTTTTCATGTACAATATATTTTAGTTGTTTCAGAAATGTTTTATGATAACTTAAAATGACTGAGCAAATTACAGAAAATTCTGTGGTTTGTAAATTATCAGAATTATCCTAAAATCCCTTTAATGTCCACTTTACTTCATGTTGTCAAGAAAGAGTTAACCTTGAAAGGGGAGCTATAGTGGTAGAATACTAGCCTACAGTGAAGAAGCCAAAACAGAGCATGTAGGCCTGAGTTCAAGCCCTCGCACTGGCACAGAGAGAGAGAGAGAGCTAATCCTCAACACATTACTGTCTCAGGACCAGGAGTGAGTTGTCAAAATACTATAAATCTAGTTGAACTTGGTTGGGTTGTCTTCTATTTAACCACAGGCAGAGTTCATTCATTGAAAGAAGAGTGTATGTGGTATTAGCTAGCATCTAGAAACCCGTTGGCCTGTGATGGCCGATGAAGGCATCAGCAAAATGTATCAGGGAAAATAGAGACATAGAGAAGGGGAGGGGTCATCGGGTGGCAGAGCCCCAGCCATGTTGGAATTTACTGGCAGGACCACATAAAATGTTTTAATGAGGTTTCTGCATCACAATAAATGAAACCATATGGAATTTTAATTATTACTGCAGTATATCTTAAGTACAAATACATGTGAGAAGCTTTTTTTTTTTTAACACGAACATGCCTATCTATGTGAACCCTGTGCTTCTGTGGAGGGCAGACATTGACATTTTAAGTACAACTCCTTTCCGTTCTAAATTGCTCGTGCTATTCTGGCTTTCCTCATGTGCTCTGAGTACTGAACCTAATACATACCGAAGTGACCTGCCTATAACTATTAACTATGCCAACTCAAGTTCACCTCGATGCTCTGAAGGGAGACCGCCTACTGAGTACCATGTGTGGCCTTTATGTAGTAATGTCCTCATTGTTTAAGAAAGAGCATCCACATTGGGTGGGGAGATGTTACATTTCACTCGCCTTCATTTCTGATTGTGTCACGCTCACTATTTCCACATTTTTCACTTGAACTTGTCAGAATTTTTTTTTTTTTTTGCTTTGGGGAGGGGTTAGGGAGAGGCAAATTGAGGATGGAGAGAGATTTATTTAAATTGAAAAAAAAAACCCTAGAGTAACTGCCTGGCTGCACTGGTTTTGTTTTGTCATCTTGAAAGTGTTTGCTTCTGGTATCAGAGACTGCTCACTTGCTTTGGGCCTTCTGCAGATGGAACTCTGGGTTCTGGGAAGCTGTTGCTGAGGGCTGGGAATGCCCACCCCAAGGGCTGTTGTCTCTCCTCCTGTCTCTGAGGTCGTGGTCCTAGACCACGAGAGCTGGAAGGGAACTTAGAGCTCATCCCCCTCATTTTACAGATGATGACACAGACACCTCTGACTTCTGCCTCTGGCCTTCCACTCTCAGTAAGAAGAGCCAGGCAGGTGAGACTTTTCCCAATTGCTGGGCTGGGCAGGGCAGGGCTGGGCTGGGTTGGGCTGCTGGACTGGTTGGTACTGTCCAATTTGTGAGGGGGAAAAAAGTTTTGTTAACTGTACATTGATTTTAAACAGTCACTTTTCTTTTCTTTCTTTCATTCTTTTTTTTTTTTTTCTACAAATGCACATGTGGCACTTAATCCTAGAGTTTTGGGAAGGTTTGTAAGCAATGTGCCTTTTAACAAAAAATGAACAATCAGTACCTCGGAAACAAGTGTTAAGAATCTTCCTTTAATAAACAGCATGGTATCTGAGAAGAGAGGCCCAGTAAAGTTTGAGCCAAAGAACTAACCCATTCACTAAGGCTTTCAAGAGTTGCTGTTAAGTACTTAACTCTTACAGCTAAAAGCTATAGGAAATCAAACTTATGCAAACGATTGAAGGATTTTACATGAGATCAAAAATCTCAACGAAGAACACTGGTTTTCAGAAAGGGCTTGTCACAATTCTGTAGATTCTAGAAAAGCCTAATGAACCCAGTCTTTAGAGATCACAGTGACAAGTTTTATGCATTTTGGAAAATGAATTTCCACCTGAGATCATTTGTAACTGTAGTTTTGTAAGTTAGCCCCCAGCAGTGTCTGCTAAGGAGTGTCACATGGATCGCTTGAGAAGTTAAAAGGATGTCTCCTTTTTGGGGGTGGGGGTGGGGGTGGGGGGACCATCTTTGCCCTCTAGGCAATGTTTTAAAATTGACCTGATACTTTTCTGTGACATGTGGGAAGGAGAGGCCTGGTAGGTAGGTAGTAAAGAGCCCTCTTTTTAATATCCCATAGGCAAAGAGCCTTTTGCAAAAGCTGTGGTGGGCACCAGACCTAAATCACATCCTGTGACACCCATGAAGACTTGAAATGCAGTGATCGCCACGGTGCTAAGGCCTCCTGTCCTCCTCCACTGTCCTCTTTTCCAAACCTGCTCCTTAAGTTGTGACACTAGGGAGAATGTTTGAGGCTAAACTCTCCTCTAAGGAGGTTAGGTAGTCTCAGATTATATTGAAGTTTCAGTGGATTTTATTGTTGCTAAAAATAAAGATTACAACAAGTGTTTTTTTAAGGTTCTAAAAGAAAGGGCAGGGATGAGCTAGGGCGTCTTTTTGATGTCCCTTCATTGATGAAGGAGCTGTGCCACCAGAAGTATCAATAATCAAATGGACAAATTATTTTGGAATTTCTGTGGGGTGAAGGAAAATGAAATCACTGGATTTTATAAAGTTTCATTTCAAATACCTGAAGTGCCAAAAGAAACAAAGAGATAGGAAAAAATTATCAAGCCGGTGGCCCATGCCTGTAATCCTAGCTACTCTGGAGGCTGATATCTGAGGATAGCAATTCAAAGCCAGTCCAGGCAGGAAAGCCCAGGAAACTCTTATCTCCAATGAACCACCAGAAAACCAGAAGTGGTGCTATGGCTCAAAGTGGTAGAGTGCTAGCCTTGAGTGCAAAAGCTCAGGGACAGCATCCAGGCCCTGAGTTCAAGCCCTACCACCAGCCAAAATAAATAAATAAGTATCAATAAATGTTTAAAGGCTGGCGCATGAACCAGTGTGAGCTGGTAGCATGGGTCCTGGGGACACGCCCGTAGGATTCTGTGCGGGTGAAGAATGTCCAGGTAGTAAAATTGTACAGTGGGTGGGGAAAAAAAAACAAGGACCTGGCAAAAGACGGTACATTTGGAAGTCTGTTTATGACTTACTGTTCCTTTTTGGGGGGAAACTAGTTTTCTTTTTTTTTCCTTGTAAAAATTCTCTCGTTATTTTAATTGATATTTACAGATCTCTCCCCCCTCCCCATCTTCTGTTACAATTTTTAGGTGCTTCAGAACTGGGGCCTTTTTCAGACCCCAGGCAGTTCCCCAGCATTTCATCCCTCACTGAGAGCCGCTTCTCCAACCCACGAGTGCACTACCCAGCCACCTTTACTTACACCCCGCCCGTCACCTCAGGCATGTCCCTCGGGATGTCTGCCACCACTCACTACCACACCTACCTGCCACCACCCTACCCGGGCTCTTCCCAAAGCCAGAGCGGACCCTTCCAGACCAGCAGCACACCTTATCTCTACTATGGTACTTCCTCCGGATCCTATCAGTTCCCCATGGTGCCCGGGGGAGACCGGTCTCCTTCCAGAATGCTTCCGCCGTGCACCACCACCTCGAATGGCAGCACGCTATTAAACCCAAATTTGCCTAACCAGAATGACGGTGTGGACGCTGATGGAAGCCACAGCAGTTCCCCAACCGTTTTGAATTCTAGTGGCAGAATGGATGAATCTGTCTGGCGACCATATTGAAATTCCTCAACAGTGGCCCAGCTGGGCAGCTGAGGCCCATGCACGGCCCACAGTGTGTGGATATATACATATATAAAGAGAGGGAATATATATGTATATCAACTAGCTTATCTACAAAGTGCCTATTTCCTAGAAGAGGTTTTTTTTTTTTTTCTCCACTCGCTTAGTCATGATCTTACAACCCTAAGAGAGTAGATTCTGAGAAGGCTCACAAGAGACAATCATAATCAGGTCTTCAGATTGTTTACTATTTAAGATGTACTTTTTGTTGTTGTTTTTACACAAAGGAACAAACAAGGGAAAAGGTCTGTTCCTATGCCAATTCAGAGAGGTAGCCTCCAGGCTGAGGAGGAAGAGCACGGCCACTTCCTCTACACCACACACCTGGTGGTTGCAGCTGGGGGGGGGGGGGGGGCATGCACTGAGGACCAGCTTACAAAGCCAGTCCCGGTGCACCCCGAGGGATGGGAGGCCCAGAGGATGCGTCTCATCTCATCCCACCATCCTCCCGAAGAAGAACCGTTCCAAAGTTTGCTTTCAAACTTACTGCAGGTACTCATTTGAACTATTGAGTTCAGGTTTTTTTCCCCCCTACTTCCAAAATACTGATCAGGATAGATTGTTTTCATTTTTTTTTTAATACTTCAGCCACTTTCTATTCAATAACAACAGAAGAATTCTAACCCCCCCAAAACCCACAAAAAAACAAAATCACCTCTCTTTTCTCTCTCTCTTTTTTTTTTTTTATAAATAAAACTGAAAATGGCAATACCTTACTATAGCTATCTATGGTATAGATAGTGTTTGAGTTTGGCTGTATGTTATTTGTTTTCTTTTTTTAAATTATGAATATGTGTAAAATCTGAGGTAACTTGCTAACGTGAATGGTCATATAACTTTAAAGATATATTTATAATTATTTAATGCCATTTGGACCTTTGAAACATTTCTTAGTGTATTGATATGTTGACTTCGGTCTCTAAAAGTGCTCTTTATTAAATAACAAATTTCTTCAGTGGGCTAGAGCCATACCTGAAATATTGCTAAGCAATTTCAGTTCATTCAGGCACAATGTGATTTTTTTTTAAAACACACTTCCATCTCCAAATAATTTTAGATGTACTTTGTTTTCGTGATGTATGAAGGAAATGTTATGTTTAGTTCTTTCAGATTTTTGATCGCCTCTGACACAGCTTTGTCTTTTAAAGCAATAATTAGGGATTTTTTAAAAAAAGAACTACTCTCAGTCCTTTATTACTTATGTCACCCTTTATCAGCATGAAATGCTGGAGAGATGTGGCTTCATAATTTCTTACAGGTAATTATGACTCCCATCATATTAAAAAGACAAGCACAAGTAAATTGTTTGAACTGCAGGAAAAAAAAGTTCAGTAGTTTCATAGTTAAGCAAAACTCTAAATCACCAGGCTTCGTAGTGAGGACAAAATCAGCTTCTAGCTGCACGTGGGTGGACGACCAGTCATATGTACAGTGCAGGAAAGCACAGCCTTACCCAACAGGAACCCAGGGGAATCCCAGCATGCCCTACTCCAGACTCCATGACTGCTTGCTGCAGAATTTCCACTTAAAAACCATTTTAATGTGGTTGAACAGTTCCAGCATGCCCATTTATGAGTTCCATACATCTTGAGAACCAGGATGAAGTCATTGTCCCGGCAAGCTGGTCCTCCGAAGTAGAAATCAAGTTCAGCAGGCCACTGATGGGAGAGTACGCAGAGCCTGTGGGGACCGTGGACCATGTTCTTTCTCAGAAGGACAGGCCAAGGTCAACCACGAGATGGTGACGTTTGGGGTCTACCACTAGTAGCCCTTTGATCACTCCCAGAGCCGCCTTGCCAGTTCCTGAGCATCAATCCTTTATCCAAACCAAGATCATGTAATGACACCACCGGGCCCATCCCTTGCTCCCCCACAGGCCAGGGTGTTTTCATTTGAACCCAGTACCCTCCTAAGCAGAACTTCATGGAGATTTGCTGCCAGCTCCCAGACCCCCAGTTTCTCTCTTAGCCCTTCCCAAGCCTGTTTTTTGTAGGCTATCAGCTGTGGAATAGCTGGACCTGGTGTGACCAACCTGGGCCCTCCCTCACAATTCACCCTGACTTCTGCTGGTACACATGAAAGGGAAAACAACAAAACAGAACACAACAGTTGGCCTTCTAAAGTTCGTACACCCAGTGTGCATAGATAAACAAGCCACTTTCCTATTTCTTAAGATGGAAGTAGTAATGGATGCTATTTATTGTTTGTGGTAGCTTGAAGCTCGCCACTGCCCATGTATTTGTAAGTATAAGGTATGTATTGGTTTCAGCAGCACTAAAAAAGAAAAGAAAGAAAGAAAGCCAGTGTCTGGTTACACATCTCAGTTATAATTAATTGATATAAAAATGTTACCACCAGTGCCAGCTGCACCCTATTTAATTTTTTGAAAAGGTACTATATTTTGTACATTTTTTTTAATGTTTAAAGGGCTTTAAAAGAGTTTACAGTACACATATTAAGTGAGTATAGGGATGCTTTAGTGTCAGAATATTATTGTAGTGGCTGCAGGCAGCAACCCAGAAACACTTTAAAATATGGATGTTCCCTGGGAAAAATTCAAGCAGTTCTCTCTACCCTCAACCCAACCACCCATATAGGGTAGTTGACATTATTTAGAACAAATTCTCTTTCCCTCCCTCCCTCCCTCCCTCCTTCTCTCCCTCCTTCTCTCCCTCCTTCTCTCCTTCCCTCCCTCCCTCCCTCCCTCCTCTCCCTTTCTCCCTCCCTTCCTCCCTCCCTCCCTCCCTCTCCCACTCCCTCTCCCACTCCTGCTCCCTCTCCCCCCACCCCTACTCTGTATCTCTTTCTCTGTCTGCCTCAAGCTGTCTGGTGCCTCACCCCAAGGACCTTTAAAAATGAGAAGAGAAATGTGTCCATACCTTTAGATATTCTGCATTGTGAACTGCAAGATGTGTGTGCTGGCTTAAGGGATTTCCTCCACTCTAAGGAAAGGGACTCACCCAGAATCCAAGCTGAGCATGGAAAGACAAGATAGAACAGTAGCCAAAGTAATCATTATACCTATGGTATTTGACAGCAATAATAATAATAATGATAATAATAATAATAAACAAAAGTTGACTCTTCCAAACTTTGAATTTGTTGTTCTTAAAAAGATAATGCATTTAAAACCTTTTTCTATGTGAGAACTTTTAGTTGTCTGTTTTCTTCATGTTTACAAATAATTGTTTGCTTTTTTAAAAAAAAAATGCAGTACTTTGAAATATATCAGCCAAAACCATAACTTACAGTAATTTCTTAGGTATTCTGAATAAAATTCCATTCTCTTGGATATGCTTTACCGTACTTAGATTTCTGTGGAACAAAAATATTTGTAGCATTTTGTGTAAATACAAGCTTTCTCTTTTTATTCCCCCTGCCTCCATTGCTATTGCCCAAGATTTGCTTTCCGTGCACATATTGTACAAATCCTGCTTTGTGCTCCAGGTTGTGTGATTGTGGATAAGTTTACTCTGAACTTCAAAGGGACTATTTGTATTGTATGTTGCAACTGTAAAGTGAATTATTTGGCATTTTCTTTTCTCCTCATGATTGTAATATTAATTTGAAGTTTGAATTTAATTTTCAATAAAATGGCTTTTTTTGGTTTTGTCATGTGTGTACATTGGGTCTTTTCTCATTCGCGGTTTCTCTTCTAGTATGGCCCCCAACCTCCGCTCAGTACTTGGGCATCTTTTCCTCTTAGAAATTTTGAGGGAGGGATGAGAGCAGAGATCCCGACTGATTGGTGAGGGGGAGGAAAGTCTTGGTTAACTTGATTCTCTCGTTCGGCTCTACTGCTGCAAGGGATGGATGAAGAATGTGGCCGTGACCCTGTGTCCTTGTCAGCCTGAAGGAAGGCATGCTTCCTCTATATCCTTTATATAAGGCTGAAGCTGCTTACTTCCTATCATAGGACCAGTCAGCATATTTCGACCACAATGGTGACAGGACTCAAATCTCTGGAACTATGAATGGGGTCCAGCCAGTGTTCATCTGGCTACAGCCAGCAGACCTGAAGCAGCCTAGATAGAGCAGGAACTCAGTTTCCCTTCCCATATCTCTTTAAAATGTTGAAAATAAAGTAAAACAAAGCCCAAGATCAAGTGAAAATGGACTTTAGCCTAGAAGATTCTAGCCTTAGACATTTTCTACATGAACATAACTATAGTTTAGAGTTTTTGTTTTTCTTTTTTTCTTGGCCACTTTATTTCTGTAAGTCCCTCCTCTTCTATAAGGTCGAGGGCCTTAGTAGAGTGGTTGCTTTCGTTATGATCCTGTACTCTATACATGCTTTGGCTTACCGCCATTCCAGAAGAGAACCCAGGAGGCCGCCTGGGGCAGAGGAGCTTAGCCACTGGCCCTGCTGGCTCTGTATACTGAGCGTTGGGGCTTCCTTCAAGAAGACTTGTACATTTCTACCCTTTTTGGACTTTTCTGAGAAATACTGGAAGCAGTGCACCTCTAGGAATAGGAGCTCTTCTAAAAGCACCTGAGTGAGCTTAGTCTAGAGAACCCATTTGCAAGTCCTCCAGGATGTCTATTTACTCAAATTTAATATCTGTGTGGCTTCAAGGTATCCACAGCTGGGGTGGCAGAATGAGTGGCTTTTTCTCTTTCTCCAGTTTTATCCAATAGCATGGTCTCAGTTAGGGTGGTCTCAGTTTCCTGGTTTATGGAAAGGCCAGAGAGCTACTGATTCTGCAGATCGGGCATTTCTTTGTTGTATGTATTAGTGGGTGGGGGGAGTGTTGTCCTGAGCACTACAGGTGTTTAACTGCATCTCTGGCCTCTAATCTATTACATGTCAGTAGTACCTCCCAGTCACGACAACCAGAACTACCTCCAGGGATTACCAGATATCTCCTGGGGGCCAAAGTCTCCATCAGTTGAAAACTACTGTACTAGAGACTCTGTATACATTCTTAGATAAAGATTTCTTGGTAGAGCCAAAAGGAGAATGCATTGCTCATTAACAGAGGACTGAGGAGCTAGCTGCCCAGTAATGGATGCTGTGGACCTTTTCCACTCCTTCACTGGAGGAACCTTGAGGTTTGGATGTATGGTGAGGG